GTAGTCTACCAGCAGTGTAGTAGTCTACCAGCAGTGTAGTAGTCTACCAGCAGTGTAGTAGTCTACCAGCAGTGTAGTAGTCTACCAGCAGTGTAGTAGTCTACCAGCAGTGTAGTAGTCTACCAGCAGTGTAGTAGTTGTCTATGTGTAGTGAAGTATGAGGGACAGTACATATACTCTATGAGACAGTACATGTACAGTATGTACAAAAGGCAGCCAAATTAAAGCTATTTCAGTAAAATTGTATATTTGTCACTTTTAAGCATTTTATATTGACTTTCTTTCAAAAATATTGGATGAATAATACAGTTATGGTGGAACACAGTTTACTTGGATATATTCCACACATCTAATACAGTAGAGCCCCACTTATATGGCAGGTTGGTTTCCAGGCTGCCAGAAAGCGGACATCGCCGAAAAGCAGGATGGCATTTTTTCCACTTATAAATATGTATAAATGCCAGATAACAAGTTTACACTAACATATATTAAGTTAGCAACAGAACTAGGCATTAAAAACAATAAAAAGTAAAATACACACACAGTACACTCATTACTTACCTTAAAATATTTGTAGTCTTAATGTAGCATGAGAGGTGAGCAGTATTTATTTGTAGGAAGTCAGGTGTAGGAGGTATGGTAGCCAGCCAGGCCACCCCACCCCAGCCAGGCCACCCCACCCCAGCCATGCCACCCCACCCCAGCCAGGCCACCCCACCCCAGCCAGGCCACCCCACCCCACCCAGGCCACCCCATCCACACATAATGTACTACGACACTTAAAGTGTCCCAAAGCGATAAAATGCATATACAATGGAACCTCCACTTGCAAGCGCATCCATGCGCAACTTTTTCCTAATACAAGCAGTCGGTCAGTCAATTTTTTGCTTCCATACACGAGTGAAATTTCCATAAGCAAGCGGGCCTCAAGGGAGGTTCCTTGACGCTGGTGAGGGGTTCTTCCCCCTTATCTAGGGAATTGGATCTCATTTATTTTGTTGGAATATCTTATTGAAACTTGGGCAATGTATGATGGAAAGATGCTTCTTAACATGCACCAAAAATGAAAGAAATTGGAACATAAATAATGGGGGTTCACTTCTAAGCCATTAGCCACCCCTTAGCGGTATTTTCGTATGGTTTTTATGGTTGTATTTTCGTTTTTTTTTGTTTCATTTGGTAGAATGGAAGACATATTACAGAAATAGATACGATTTTGATTGGTTTCATGATGAAAAGTACCTTGAAACTGAGCTCATAGTAGCAGAAATGTTCGATTCTTTGGCGATGCTCAAGAGTAAACAAATGACTTCATTGTCCATTTATACTACTATTACAATAATGTAGTAGTCTGCACAACAGTAAATCTTCTATTTTTTGTGTGAATAAAAATTACAAATTATTTATATTGTAATAATAATAATAATAAAAAATAATAATACATGTCTAGGCAGTAGGTTGGTAGACAGCAACCTCCCAGGAAGGTACTACCGTCCTACCAAGTGAGTGTAAAATGAAAGCCTGTAACTGTTTTACATGATGGTAGGATTGCTGGTGTCCTTTTTTGTCTCATAAACATGCAAGGTTTCAAGTACGTCTTGCTACTTCTACTTACACTTAGGTCACACTACACATACATGTACAAGCATATATATATATATATACACCCCTCTGGGTTTTCTTCTATTTTCTTACTAGTTCTTGTTCTTGTTTATTTCCTCTTACCTCCATGGGGAAGTGGAACAGAATTCTTCCTCCGTAAGCCATGCGTGTTGTAAGAGGTGACTAAAATGCCAGGAGCAAGGGGCTAGTAACCACTTCTCCTGTATATATTACTAAATGTAAAAGGAGGTACTTTCATTTTTCCTTTTGGGCCACCCCGCCTCAGTGGGATACAGCCGGTGTGTTGAAAGAAAGAAAGAATAATACATGTACAGTGGATCCCCGGATTACAAAATTAATCCGTTCCAGAGGGAGTGATTGGTGGAATGATGAAATAAAGGGTGTGATAAAAGAGAAAAAGGTAGCTTATGAGAGGTTTTTACAAAGCAGAAGTGTTATAAGAAGAGCAGAGTATATGGAGAGTAAAAGAAAGGTGAAGAGAGTGGTGAGAGAGTGCAAAAGGAGAGCAGATGATAGAGTGGGAGAGGCACTGTCAAGAAATTTTAATGAAAATAAGAAAAAATTTTGGAGTGAGTTAAACAAGCTAAGAAAGCCTAGGGAAAGTATGGATTTATCAGTTAAAAACAGAGTAGGAGAGTTTATTGCAGTGATGAATCAGTGTTTCAAGTAATGTTTGACAAATTTCAGTTTGTAAGAAGACGTGTCACTGAGGAATTCCATCGTGAATGTGTGGTGAGCACTGTTAAACATCCAACATCTGTGATGGTCTGGTTTGTAATCAGTAGTAAAGGTATGAGTAGGCTGTATATTGTTGAAGGTACTATGTGACAGGATTAATATAGAAGAGTTTTAGTCACTAGGCTCATTCCTCAGATAC